AAACTCTTCTCATGCAAATAGTCGCACAAGTTATCTTACCTAGTAGCAGCAATCTCTTAACCAGTCCGCTTTTTACAATGTCTTATCCCTGTCGTTTTTCCCACAGACGTGTGACACCTGAACACCAACGTCCGGTCGAGGGGCTACCTTGGACAAGTCTCCAGAGCTCCTACCAAATTTCGACTAAAGAAGAAGAAATAGTTTTTTTTTTCATCTTTGTGAAGAAAATGACTAGTAAAAATAATGACAAGCAAGTGAATATACATATGTAATCTGCTCAACTGCTATCAATGATACTATCACTCAGTATCAGTGCTATGCAGGTGCAGCAAAAGCGCTATGGCGTACCTAGGGACTCTGGACTAGGGAGTTCCTTGCCAAAAATCGTGAGGATTCTAGACGGCAATCACGGCATGGGATAGGTAGAACTGTTGGATAAGGACGATTGTGTTGTTGGCTTACTGCTCATTGGCTTGCTGTTGCTGGTTCATAACATAACATTACATAGTAATGTTGCCTCATGTCATTGCTGAAGAGTAGACCTGATCATCCTGATGTGCTGTACTGCTGTGGCCTGTTCTGTTGCCGATTCTTCACTTGCAACCATGTCTTCTCATACTGTAATCTTGCTGTTTATTGTTCTTCCCAAGGTGAAGTACTTTACCAGGAGCAGGAAGGAAATTTGTGCCTATGGCTTTTAGGCTTTTAGCAAATAATCACTTAGGCTACTCTGCCCTATAATCTATATGCCCTGGGCAGCACGCGCGCTACAATGCTGGACTGGACACAGCAGGTCTAGCCTGCTCCGAGAGGAGCGGGTAACCCTGTCAAAGTCCTGAGTTGTGTATCGGGCATCACACTCGTGGTGCATTGGGCGTGCTTGGCCTAGCAGGCTTACGCATGGAAAGGAGTATGATAATGAGATAAATGCTGGTATAAGTGGTATTGGGCAATACTAGGCAGTGGGCACTGGCCTCTTGCATGCATCCTCATTTCAAAGATGTCACTTGGAGCAATGAAATTTTATAATTGAGTAGGAAATTTTCAATCTTGCATGTTTCATTTTATTTAAATCTTGCAATGACCATGCAAGAAATACTTTTTTTTAATATAACTAGAAATTATGCAACTCCATTTCTGGAGACTGGAACTGCATAATTCACAAATCCAATAGATTTAAGACCTCCTACGGGAAGTGGAGAAGAGAAGAGTCAGAAGACCATTGCTGTAAACCTTGAGGGCAGTGTCGCAGTGATATAAATGTGTATGCAGTTGTGCCATATTGTCAAGTCTCAAAGGACTTTTTTACACTCTTTCTCAAGTTCAATTATGAGTCCTATTAGTAGACCAGTAGAGTGTTATGGGTACAAGCATTATCATACATAAGATGATAACATATTGGTTTAATCCTTGAGTAAATGATTAAATTAAAAAAAATCAACTGTAATAATTATGTGATTTGACACAGAGTTGTGCATCACATGAAACAATAACTCAGCAGCCACATGGCACAAGGAAACTACGGTACCTATGTAATTGAGGAGAACGATGGCCAGAAATAGGAGCGTACTTGCTACAATAGGAGTGGGATGGCCGCTCGCTCCAATAAGAGCAAGCCAGCAGCAGTGGCAGCATGCTTATCTTGCTCCAAGCAAATAGAGTGCTCCAGCACCCAAATAACTGCCATTTCCTTAAGTTTTAACAGTATTAACTGCCACATCCTTAATAAATAGCACACTTTCAGGGCCTTCAAATTGCACCCTTGCACCCCCAGGCCCCCACACTAAAGAACAATACAGAAGCTCATTCATTTCAGTTGAGTATGCATCCCATACCATAACTGAAAGTCGAGCTAAGTAAGGAAAATATCTAGGTACTCTCTGATCTGTAACTGGATTTTTCCAAGCTGTGGCTTTATGGATTTCCAAGCCATGGTTCAATTTCTTTGAGTCATGAATACTGTTTATATATTTGTATTATCCCAAATCTCTAATTTCACCCTAGAAACAGCAACAAGAATATTTGTCTTTAGTTTAGAGTTGAGAGGCAACTGAACACATGATAATGCAATCTGATGCCAAAACATTTTGGGTTGACTTGTTATGCAAGATATTTTGGCAGGAGCATGGTACTAAGTACCTACTGCAGAAGTTGAAAATTTTATGAAGTGACATGTTTGTGAACCACAATATTTCATACCTATTGAAATTCTATGATATTAGAGCCGCAATATTTCAGAAAAATAAGACTTTTCTCAACTAGGTCAAAATTCAAAAGGCTCTTAAATTTACATTTGTACAACAACAAGTGTGATAGGTACATGATCATTTAAAAGGTATTTAGAATGACAACATGCATGGACAATCAATGATTTTAATTTCAGACTTGGTAGCACCCTGCCTATTCTGTAGGCCTCATTAACCCAAGTTTTTGATCATTTGAAATTTTAACTGGGTGTTCATTATAATTCATTTATTATCAATTTATCATACTCTTATCAGTTGTTTTATGAGAAAGCAAAATCACAAGCATCTATGCAAAGCAGCTGTCAAAGAAATTCTGTGTTGACTTCCACATCCTCCCTGTGGGAAGTGCATTTTCTGATCCTGCCATGCAACTGCTGAAGCCTTCCTGGATAAACCATGATGGTTGGTATCATTTTTGTGTCATTAACTGTTATTTTAACCCCAAACATAAGTTGGAATCATTTTAGCAAGCTCTCATAATGGTAGCTTGGATATCCTTTTTAATGTGATGTTTGACCTTACTATGACAACTAGTATATTGGCTGTAAGCATGAAATATGTTGTGTAAATAGGCTCCTATTGATTAATTAATTGATTGTTTGATTTTTCAGATGGTAAAGCAATCTTCAGTGTTGACATCCATCCTGATGGCACCAGATTTGCTACAGGAGGTCAAGGTCAGGGACAAGATGCATCAGGTCGTGTGGTCATATGGAATATGAAGCCAGTGCTCTCTGAAAAATATGAGAAAGATCCCAATGTGAGTTATCAGGTACATTGGTGAGCAGTCACTAATGGTAGGTAATTTTTCCAGAGATCATTGTAATGCTTAGAGGAAATGAGCTCCCAAGCTAATTAAATTGTAATTTTTGAACTAAAAATTATCCGTGCATTGAACCCATTGTATTCAAGAATTTTCATTTGTGATCACTGGAATCTCTTGGCTTGATTGACAGTTTGATCAGTTAGTTACAGTTGAGTCTTGGACTCTTGGTTCACAGTGATTTCAGTGTATGTACTATCGTTAATGTCTGTTTGAATATTAAGTATATCATTTTTCTAAGAAATAAGTGAATAACTATGCCAAAAAATAGAACATCCAAAGCTATGTATCACTGACCGAAATTGCACAACAAAGTTATCTCATGGAGCCCGGCCATGGCCAGCCTTCCTTTGAATGAAAAATGTTTTGAAGTTGCTAAGAAGTGACACTGACATTGCTCCTTTTTCAGTGACCCAAGCAGTTCTGCCAATTGATGAATGAAATATTGTTTCTTATTTCAGTGTCCCAAGCTGTTCTGCCAATTGATGAATGAAACATTATTTCTTTTTAAGTGTCCCAAGCTGTTCAGCCAATTGATGAATGAAACATTGTTTCTTATTTCAGTGTCCCAAGCTGTTCTGCCAATTGATGAATGTAACATTGTTTATTTTTTCAGTGTCCCAAGCTGTTCTGCCAATTGATGAATGTAACATCGTTTTTTTTTTCTGTGTCCCAAGCTGTTCTGCCAATTGATGAATGTAACATCGTTNGTTTCTTATTTCAGTGTCCCAAGCTGTTCTGCCAATTGATGAATGTAACATTGTTTATTTTTTCAGTGTCCCAAGCTGTTCTGCCAATTGATGAATGTAACATCGTTTATTTTTTCAGTGTCCCAAGCTGCTCTGCCAGTTGGACCAACACTTGGGGTGTGTTAATTGTGTTCGCTGGTCTCATTCTGGCCACTTCCTTGCCTCGGCTGGTGATGACAAAGTCATTATTATATGGCAGCTCAGCAACTATGGAGGTTTGTGTTGCTGAAAGCTTCTTAATTAATTTTGCATATGTAAAATTTCTTTTTTTTGTGAGACCTGCTGAGTTTATTTTTAACATAACTGTAGATTAGCCAATCTGCAGTCACACATGTTGCTGATGTTTGCTATTGACTGCATTTGTTTCATTTGAAGGTGGCTCAGTCTTTGGATCAAATGTGATAAACATTGAATGGTGGCGCTGTGTCTCCACTCTTAGAGGACATGATGGTGACATACTTGATGTTGCGTGGGCGCCCCGTGACGCTTTTCTAGCATCTGTCTCCGTTGACAACACCATCATTATCTGGAATTGTGAAAAATGGCCAGGTATAACTGATACATGAAACATAAGCAAATGAATGCATTGAAAATATAAAATGTTATAATTTAATCTACATGAATATATTTTGGCTATTTGAAATTTTGAAACTTTTTCACCGCTGTTAGCTACTGAAAAAAAGTCTGTTTGCTATTTGTATGGTGTTTTATCAAGTTGATGACAGTTCAATGAGAATTCGATTGTCTAACAGTAGTTCATTCGTGCCTATTAATATCCATCATAATTTACGCCAGTCCTATTGACCATTAGGAACATTATTCTGGAGAACGTATATCTGAACCTAACTCATTCAGTTGAGTTCCAGCAATAATATACATATATACTGCAAGAGATAGACCATAATATAAATGGTGTATATACTGCAAGAGATAGACCATAATATAAATGGCATACTATATACTGCAAGAGATAGACCATAATATAAATTGCGTGCAATGTACAGAGCGCGTGCGTGTGCTGCGAGGTCACCGCGGCCTGGTGAAGGGCGTGACATGGGATCCTGTAGGCCGCTACCTCGCCTCCCAGGCTGATGATAAAACTCTTGTTGTGTGGCGCACGTCTGACTGGACGCAAGAAACTGTCATCTCCAAGCCTTTTGAAGAGGTCACTTGCAATATCAATTGACTCGGAAATTTAATTTTAACCTCTCTGACATGAAAAATTAATTAGCCTCAGTTGTAGTCACTGTTTTAATTTCATATGAAATACATAATTATTTATGCTTTAAATGTAAACACAGAAGATTTCCCGTTTTCACCTACCACACCAGGAGGGATGTATTATTCCATGCATTAGTTGTTGATTATTTCATTTAAAATAATACAAAAAATTTGCCTTCACATCTTAGCCGGTCTTGCTTCATGATTAATCATTGATTCCTTGCATATAGCATTTTAAAACAACTTGCATGTTTTTCTTAAGTAAAGTAATTGATCCATCTTTTACATTGACCCACTCAATCTTCGTATGCTTCACATTCCTATGAGAAAACAATCACGGGGTTCATTGACTAATTTTACTACACATTAGTGATATAATAATTTTCATTTAATAATTTAATAATAATAATAATTTATTAGTGATAACAAGTTTTGTTCAGTGCGGAGGTACGACGAGCGTATTACGACTGAGTTGGTCCCCGGACGGTCAGTATCTTGTGTCGGCGCACGCCATGAACAACGGCGGCCCAACTGCACAAATTATTGACCGAGATCACTGGACCACTGACAAGGACTTTGTTGGCCACCGCAAGCCTGTCACGTGTGTTGTGAGTGCCTTGCTCGCTGCAATTATTCTTACAGTTATTGTGATGTTGGTGTCTGTGGTCGCCGAGTAATTATCTGTTTACATTATTATCTATCAGATATTTCACCTGTTATATTGAATGTGCTCTATTTTTCAATTACAAATTTCTCATTGCATCCAAGCACTGTTTTTGATATTGAACAACAATTAAGAAGTCTTATTTGTTAGATGATTTTTTAAACTGATGTATATATTTTCAGTAAACATTAATTTAACGATGTCGTTTTCATCGCCAGCGCTTCAATCCAAACATTCTGAAGAAGAGCGACAGTGCTGGCGGCAAGCCGGTGCAGTACTGCTGCCTGGCTGTGGGGGCGCGCGATCGTTCTCTCTCCATTTGGTTCACGTCTCTCAAACGTCCGCTGCTCGTCATACATGATGTCTTCGAGGACTCGGTTAATTAATCTCGTGCACATGCTTGTTATTAGACATCATAGCCGTCAATAGACACATGCATCATACAAGACATTAACCACCAATTGTGGATATGTTCTTGTATTTTATCACAAATTGGTTTTGAGATTTTGCATCATATATTCTTTTCAATTTTATTATATTATGCATATTATTCTTTTCAATTTTAAATTTCTATCAACTATACCTTGATGAAGGACTGCACTAAATTTTGAACGAAGTACTGCATAATTCCTGCATCACTAGTCTTGAAAATCCGGTCATGACTGTACTGCAATTGTCCTACACAAAAAAGTCAGATAACTTGAGAATTAAAGCTTCTGCATTTATATAAATTTTATTTTTTGAGACCTTCTGTAGCTAAATATAACTTGATGGTCAATTCACTTGCTGATCTGTGTTTATTATATAATTACATTATGCGGCATTCTTGTATTGTTTTAAAAGGCTAATTCTTGGAATATTTCAGGTGTTAGATTTGTCATTCAGTGCATGTGGACGACATCTGGTGGCTGTCTCCAAAGACGGCACTGTTGCTGTCATCAGCTTCACGTCTCAAGAAATGGGACATGCACTGTCTAAAGAGGAAACTGTGAGTTGTATGCAAGTACTATTTGTGTAAGTCTTGCGAAAATACAAATTTGACACCAATAGGTGAGTTCCTGATATATATATATTTTTACAATAACATTTGATCCTAAAAGTATTGCGGTCCTAATCATAACATCTGCTAGATTAACTGAAGCACATGAATATGTTGCTAGGACTCGGTGTACATGAAGCTATACGGGCAATGCAGCAGCGGTTCAGCTCTACAAGCAGCCACTGCCGTCATAATCGACAACCCAGAAGTGTTACGAGCTAAGCAGCTCGCCAAGAGCCGGCAGTCAGAGGCAGGCTTAGGGTCTGCTGTGTTACCTACGAGCAGCTTCCCTGCTGCCGCTGTACAGAAAGGTCCTGATAAACAGATAGAGAGACGCACGGTTGATGGCAGACGCCGCATCACTCCTGTGTTCATCCCGCCTTCTGCTGACGGGTACAAACTTGGTCTTGAGATGTTAGCTTGAAATGGACTTGAATTGTTTGCTGCGACGAGTAAATTACACATTTATGAACTAATTGATGTTCTCCTGTCTTAATATTTTCCTATTACAACTGGCTGATAATTTCATTCTATATATATATTTAACTATTATAAAATCTCAGCTTGGTTTCTTTTCTAAACAGCGCCTTAAAATTGTGTGCAGCTCCAACATGAAGAGTTTCGACAGTTTCTCCACAAGTAGGACAGACAAAAGCACAATAGTGATTGAGAAGTTGGATGGCGTCGTGGAGCCTAACGTGACGCCCCATAAGAAGCGCACCCAGTCTGGCAGTGCCAGCAATACCAACAGCAGCCCTCCCAAGGGCACCATGCCCGCGGTAGTGAGCGCAGGCTTGGGCAGCGCTACTGCTGGTGTCGCTGACTTACCTACGGCACCTCCTGAGCTCAACGGCGTCAATCCAGGATTAACAGCACGACTTGAGCGGTGAGCTCATCTCTCGTAATGGTCGCTTGATATCATGCACATCTGTCGGAAATTGGGAGCATTCATGTTGTATTATTGTGATCAATTTTTTGAAAAATATTTGTTGTAATTCATTAGAGATCTATCATGTCTTCATTTGGAGTTTCGTTGTGCTACATCATGGGAGAAGAAATTATATTTTCAAAATTCGCGTTCGTGTTTTTTTTGGTACTCGATTATTGAATTAATTCCCTACTTTTATATCAGTATTTCATAACAATCGTAGCCTTCTTACCATTGAAGGTTAAAACATTTAAATACGCAATCAATAAAATTGATATTTCCTGATCCTTATCGCGCGACGCCCAACTTGACATTTTACGCGCGATTGGTCGACCTGAAGTGCCAGCAACTATGCCCACTGAACTAACTCTTGGATAAAATATCGTGTGCAGGCTGGACAACGCAGGGGCAGTGGGTGATCAATCACCAAGTTTGCCGGTCAAACGCAAGTTGGACGAGCCTCAACCCATCCCCATGAAGCGTAAAAGAGGGCGGCCTCCTTTGGACCGCTCCTTGCAGCATCCGCAACAACACAGTACCCCCTCCATGGCTACCCCTGCATCAGTTCCAGGTGCGATACATTAGTTAAGTTCTCTGCCGAGACAAAAATATCGAATGAATGATCACCTTAAACGTTGAACTAATCCAACATGCTAAATTACAACACCTCAGCCAATAGCTAACCATGAGCTTCATAGTGTAATGGCATATTATTCTATTGAACTCACATGCTCTGCAGTTGTAACTTAATACATTATTTTTGTGACTCCATGACTTCCAAATAGCTTTGTCTATGCATTTCTTTGTCTATAATTCATTAGTTACTGGTCTTTAGTGTTTAATCATCTTTGACTCTTTGTATTCTCCGCTAACTGCCTGTACAGTCGCAGTGGCAGTTCCTGCTGCAGCTTCCCATCCTGCTGCTGTCGTCGCGTCGTCAACAACATTGCCCACTGCTGCTGCTGCTCCTTCTTTCTCTGCCGCCGCTTCTGTTACGCATGTCTTACCAGAGGCAAACCTCGGCAATGTTCATAAAATACAGGCAAGTGCAACGCTGAGTTTATCCTCAGTTCAGAAAAAGATACTTATTCTGTATTTAGGTTCATATTGAATCGTATTGTAATTTTTATTAGTAAAAAGGCTATCTTCTAGTAAACATGATACTAAAGGCATGCAGTGTCATGTTTTCCCGTGCTTTAAGTTTCTCGAGAGCTAATTTGATCAGTAAAAAGTCTACTACATCATTGATTTTGCCGCATTATTTAAAATGATGGCGACTAACAAAAATTTTTAAACCTAAAATTAGGGATAACGCATTCCGAATTATTTATTCACATGTCTGTGATTGAAAGTTGAGAAGATTGAGACATTGTGTGTGGGAAAAGCATGTTTCTATTTGTCCGTGCCAGTGTGACAAGGGCAGGCTGCTTTAGAGCGCATTATTTTATAACAGGTGGACAGCAAACTCGGCGGTGGCGTTGTGCTGATCGAGAACAACTGGACGAGCTTGAGTGGCGGCGGCAGCAACGCCGTGCATCGCATCAGTCGCGTGTGTGACGGTGTCGTGCAGTGGACGAGCTACTCCACGGCGCGCGTTACTGCCGCGGCCGTCGGATGCCGTTGCGTCGCTCTCGCTTGTGCCGACTCCAGCCTTCAGCTTCTGTGCCTCAGAACAGGTATGGTTCCCATTCTCATGAAGCAGATAAATGAGTGGACTAATGTTTTGTAAGAATTTAGGAAACATCCATAGCTGTCATGTGTGTAGTAAAATATGAGATGTAACATTCCTGAAGGTTTAACTGACAGATAACTCCTACAAGCAGTGGAAATAGAGATATTTGTAAGAGAGGCTCAATAAAATCAAGTTTTTTCGAAGTTAAATTTCAGTTCAGATAAATTCCTAGGTAGTAGGATACGGCTACAAAAATTGCATTGTTAAATTTTGAAAGTAAAAATTGAAATTTGTTTCTTTCCATGATTATCCGTGGAGCAATCACGCTTGTAGGGACTTCAACGGACTGTGAGGTCACCTGAATTTGCAATTCAGTTTTGTTGTTCGAAAGAAAAGATGTCTGTTATTGTGTTGTCTTAATTCAGTCCTGTTTTTCCAAGGTGACGAATTCATGCCGAGCGTGCAGATGCCTGGCAAGTGCGCCAAGTTGCATCTACGGAAAGAGTATCTGCTGCTCCTCACCACGTCCGCTCAAGTCTCTCTCTGGCACACCACACGCAGAACATGTCTCCTAACTGAGAGTGTTCGTCACCTCGGTGAGTCGTAGGTCGTATGAGTATTCTACTCTTGACGAATTTTAGTCATCTTCTGTAATCAGAATTATCAACATGTTAAGCTATTAAATTATCATTCAATGTGTGTATAATTTTTTATTATCTCCCCTGGTCATAGCTGATTACATATAGACTTGTTTTAAATGTTCAATCAATGAAATTTATCCATAACATTTTTTTAGTCGAGGGTCGCGAAGGAACGGATGGGGCCCGCAGCATTCACCTGGTGGAAACAGAGCAACTTCCTCCCTCTGAATCTAAAAAATCCGCCCCTGCTGCTGTCGACTCTCCAAACGACAGTACAGCGCGTTCTGCTGTGTGCAACGGATACTCCCATGACACTATTTCAAACCACACTAGTAAACAGAGCCTCCACAATGGCATTGACGGTCATACGCATAAAGATACAAATCATTCGCTGCCAACGAAAAGTACAGCGGTTTCAAATAAATTTGCCGAGTCCAGTGCAGACGATAACAAGGAACGTCTCATCCCGGTGCTCGTTTTTGGTACGGGAGAAATTTTCGCCCGTTGCTGGTCACTGGAATCGTGGCTGCAGCTCGGAACAACTCCCGCAATGCGCCGCCTCGTGTTGCCCTGCTACAGCTGCCTTCCCCCTTCATCAGATCATCACGCACAGCCTCCACTCGCCAGGCTTCTGTATCACTCAACTGCTTAGTGAGTGTGAAATACCTGACAGTTGAACATAGTTCATAGGTAGAGGGTTGCTTTTATCTAGATGTAATAGCTATGTCAACTATGACAAAATTCCGGAAATATGCTCACGACATTTATGAGATCTAATTGAAATCTTACAGCTTAAGCTAAGCTTAGCTCATAAACTCTAACCTCCACATTTCTTAAGCTGATTTCCCTCAACAGTGTGGGCAGCAGTCGATCTCTGGTAGAGAACACCAGTGGCGAAGTGCGGGCAGTTTTAACCGAGGTGTTTTTGAAAAAAATGCTCACATCGTCGGCATACCTGGCGTCATCTCGTGACTATCAGTTTTGGTACAGGAGACTCGTCAATTTCTATATTAGAGAAGGTGATTCTGCGCTGAGGTTTTCTCCAGAATTCTCTGAGTGTGGTGTATGAAAGATAATATTATTTTCTTCTGCAATTACGGCATACATTCAAGACTGTCAATGAACCTTTTACTTTTTTCGACTCGGTATGAGTCGTATAATGAGTCACATTAAAAAATGAATTTCCATGCTTTTTAACGCATTTTCTCATTTATGAAAAAAATGCACTATTGTCCTCGCCATGTCCGTCTGTCTGTCCATCCGTGACTTCATGTTTTCGTCGACGAGAAAATGCGCTCTCTGTCACTCACTGCAGTGAGTGCTGAGTTATATTTTTTATTATTCGCTATGATCATTCTTATAACTTTTGACTACAGCTCGTTGCAAATTTGTCTTCATGATCAACAGGCAAAGAGCGAGAGTTGAGAAAGGTGTTCGAAGAGCTCGCGGCGCCGCCCCCAGCCTCGTGCAAGGAGCCAGTGACGACTGTCCTCCCGTCACACAGATCACTCTTGGTAATCTTCTTGCGTATTCCTCTAATTCTTTTACTAAAATGTAAAAAAGTTACTTGTTTGAGAATTCGCTCTAGTATTTTAAAAAAATTGAAATTCTGGTGCAGATTGATCACTCTCCCTTGCTCTTCCGAAGCACAATTATAGAAGGTATAGTTTATATGTTCGTTCTACAACGTAGACAATTGATGTTAAACGGAAGGACAATATCTGTGACAACCAACATGAGTTCTATTACTTTCATAAATAATCATTAGAATTCGTGAGAAAAAACACATGGGAAAATTAATAAGAGGAAAAACACTTGGGGAATTTATTTTATGCAGGGATCTGACACGGTCTCGCTGGTGAGAGACTATCTTCAGGAGCTCCTGCTTGTCGATACAACGGGTCGCCTGCAGCGCCTCTACGCGGAGTTCAAGGAGCTCGTCGACCCCTCCCTCACGGCTGCTGACATCATGATATGAAGTGCCGGTCTCGCGCCATTCTTAATCTACTGCGGGCATTTGACACTACTACTTTTATCACACTTATGACATCTTAACTCAACAATAAGCCAAGAGTTGCTCAAGATTTCTCATCTTTTTGTATTAGATGATGCCTTGCCTCTTCAAAAAGGTACTCACGTTTCTTTTAGATTTAACCGAAATGTTACAAATCTCAAATAGCGTTTCGCGCTAAATAGGTTGTGATAAACCGGTGCATATATTTATGAGTGGTTTGATCTCGTTTTATTTGTTCGTTGTAGTGAGAAAGTTTTCGAAATGACATCACTGTGACCACAAGCCACGTCTTCCAAATGCTGGAAGCGTCTGTACCACTCTTTGCTTCATTCTTGTTATCGCTAATTTGCTTCGCCAACGCTTGTTAAGTCCCTGATGGAAAACAGGTGGCTGCTTATTTTTCTTCGCTAAAATAATCAGACTTGAGCCGAGCTAGTTTGGCCCCTCACTGATGTCGAGTGCGGCAGCAATGAGAGAGTTCTCCCTGTGGTGCTACCATGCCTTTGAAGTGACCATGTATGGTAGCTTATCTCCTCACATCCCACCACGTCCTTCAGGTTGTCTTAGCATGCCTTTACCACTAATCACCAATCATCTAATCATTGTTCCACGCATAAAATTGCCCCTAAAACTCAACAACGAAAATAGGGACTTTTAAATAAGTTGGGCTCAGACATCAAATTTATTTTATGATATTGAAACATGTTAACTTTATGTTGTGTTTCTTTATAATTACGTACAGAATACCACATATTCGTCTTGTCACTTGAATGAACCGAAATGACGAGTGTAATTAGTATAGCGCAACCACTGCCAAAGTAGTTTTAGCTCTTAGAAGTGGAATGGATGGAAAGATTTGCTGTTTACGAGACAAATATTAGTTGAATGCCCAGTAGATCATCGGCGGTCGAAACGTGTACATGCTTTTGCAGTTCATTCTCAAGCGTGCGGATACTCTGATGTTAATCCAGGTCTCACTGCCTACACATTAAGATTATGTTAGATTGTGAAAATGTCGAGGTAATTTAAGATCCCATTGCTTTTAATAGTAGAAATGTACATCCTTCCAGTCTCACTGCCGGTATCTATAATCTTCAATGAAGAATGCTCAATCTTTCGAGTTTTTTCGAATTTCTGTCTACTATGAAATTCTTATATTGGCCTATTTTTATTAAAAATGCAAAAGAAATTCGAAAATTTTATGCCGTGTGTGAAATATGTTTTCGTCAATCTACGATATGTATATATAATTTGGTCGAAAATACGGGATACAATCATTTTTTTTTTTCAGATGAAGCTTTTGCGATGCTCTCTTTTTTTTCTAGACGTATCTATTCTCGATTAGCTTTTGCATACTCCAAAAACGTAAATGAAGTAATGTTAATAAAAAGAAGTATTCCTAACGACTCGTTTATTTTGATGCCCTTCAACAGCTGTAGAGATAATATGTAAAGGGGAGAGAGGCTCGTACTCAACAAATTTATACAAGTTGTGTGGCAGAACTGTACGTGAACTCGAGAAGCTTCCAGGCTGCGCGAGGGTTTAGCTCGGCCTGGTCACGGCAGAAGACCATCACATACTGTCGCCGCACCACCGAGTCCTTGTCCCCAGCCACGATCTATCAACAATGAAATGCTTCCTCATCACAAGTAAACCAAATCGTTCATAACCCATATAATATTGAAAAAAGAAATCGATCTACATTCGGGACGAAATGGGAAATGGAACCATTAACTCATGGTTGAACTATACAAGGTTGACCCACGAGAAGTTCCGCCTTTCAGTTCAGCTTTCTTGTTGCGTCACTGAGATCGAGAAACGTAAACAAACCCGTCATTCCCATGTCGAATTGGTTGACTGGTTTGATCGCATTTCGGTGATTGGTTAATGCCCGTGACGTCACTGAGATCAGTGACGTCACAGGCGAACAACGAACTATATCCGCAAAAATGGGCTTCTGATGGGTCAACCTTATACTAGTTCAACCATGCATTAGCTGCTCTATTACAAATCACGACATCTCACCTCGCCTTGGGAGTTGTATGTGCAGTCGATGAGCTGCACCCTGAACATGAACGCCAGGACCGGTCCCTCGTCCAACACCTTGCCCATCATCAGTTCTAAGTTGTCCAACTCGAGCACCTGTAACATCAATGGTTTTACTTTAGATATTGTATTCACGCACGGGTTCAGTGCATAAATAATGTTCTTCGAATTAAATGGTGGCGTCAAGTTAGACTAATAAATCGTCATCAAATGAATTAAGTTTACACTATATCTTCATATACAATAAACATTTAAATTCAGTTAGGCTTAAGTTTGGTAATGCAAAAAATAAGTGGTTTGGAATTTCAGATAAGACAAAAAGATTGACTGACGTTTATTTTCCTGTGGTGTCCCAGAATGGCATTCTGCTTCACCTCGGCAGCAACGATGGAGTAGGCGCGCTCGTACGACCAGTCTTCGAGGATCTGAACAGTAAGAGTGACACAATGAGCAAAATGACACGCTGGAAGAAGTTTATTACGATGCTATCAAAAAAGCTTTACATTTGAGGCATATGTCCGAGTTCGTAAAGTTTTTACATGTCTTGGGAGCCGTGAGCCATCGGCCAATTGAACACCAATCGGCCCTACATGAAATAAATCATTGCAATCTTACCACAAGGCCAACTATCGGTCTTGGATTGAGCTTGTCAATATTCACAAGTGTTCACCATCATTGTTTCATCTAGTAAGATCTTTACAATTCAATTAACGAGGCCTGCTGGAAGGTACCAACTCTCGCTCTGTCTGATTGGTGCGAGTTTATTTCATGCGTTAGAAGATGAAGCTGGCCACACGAGACTAGGCTCTCTTACGGATGCTGGTTAATCGAATTCAATGAACTTTCTTTGTCAAGACCTGAAGGTTCGTGCTAACTACACGTGTTTGAAGCTGCGTTATTGAGAAGATACGGCGTAACGGCTTAATTTCGTTGCGAAATGAGCTGTGCTGGTTTTGGCAGGCCACTTTTTATAGAAAAGCTAAAAAATAACACCGAGGCAAAACATGGTTTGTCTAGTAATCTAGGAAATGTACGACCAGAGTTGATACGGCAGCTCGTCATGAACACGAGACCGCTGTAGGCTGCGAGGGTCGCCTCAATAAACAATCATACACGGCAATTACATGTAATACATAAAATCACCTGAGATTTTGTGAAGTACTCCTGGTTTCATATTAATTGAAAATTGTACAGATACACAACAATAAAGTAAAATATATACAAATTCGAAATTAAACTAAAACTTCTCAGGTGTGTTCGGAAAATAACATAAAAGCAGAAATATTTTTATCTAGGCTAAAGTTATATTTCATTAATTTGTGTTCACAAATAGAAGTTGATTTTCTGGATATAGTTTGACTAATATGTGCGGTGAGGAACAAATTACCTTGAGGTTGGATCGAAACATGGCCTCTAGAATATTGGGCAAGATATCGTACTATGTAATATTTGAGGTACGGAGCAAATTACCTTGAGGTTAGGTTGAAACATGGCCTCTAGAATATTGGGCAAGATATCATACTCTGTAATATGCGAGGTGAAAAGCAAATTACCTTGAGGTTGGGTTGAAACATGGCCTCTAGAATATTGGGCAAGATATCGTACTCTGTAATATTTGAGGTACGGAGCAAATTACCTTGAGGTTAGGTTGAAACATGGCCTCTAGAATATTGGGCAATATATCGTACTCGAGCTCGAGCATGAAAGCCTCCTTGGTGAAGTCAGGGTCCATCTTGCAGATCTCGGTCAGGGTTTTGGACAGGTCGGTGCTGTTGAACATCGGCCCGAGTATCTCCGTTATCTGAGAAATATTAGAAAGAAAACTCAACTATTATTCTTTACTCTTCAGTAAGGGGAGACACATGCATGAAAAATTCGTGAGGCTAGTAAAAGATGAAGTAATTTCTAAGGTATTTCACTCAAGTCTTTTTTTTTAAATTTAAAAATTGCAAGAGTTAATCGCAGTTGAAGAATATATCAAACAAGATCATTACGATTAACATAATTGATATTGTGTTAACTTATATACCTAATTATAGAGGAAAACCATATAACTTTCATACGGTGCAATTTTATCAGGTTCCTCTATGAACCTCTATTTAATGCTTCGTTCTTGTACGAAAAAAAAGCTTTTGATTTAAAGCACATATCTGACCTCTTGTGAACGGCAAAGGCTGATGCTAATAATTAAACGATGGGTAATTGGAGACTGGCAAAGGCATGCTAACGTGCCGGAAATAAAAAGCAAGTAGAGTATAAGAGAATACGAAGTAGTGGAACTTTTGGGAGATTTAAAGTTACCGTGTTCAACAAAGGGTTTGTTCAGAAATTCAAATTTGTTTGTTCAAATTTGTTCAACAAAGGGTTCAGAACATACCGTACATTTCATTAACGTGTCATAACGGGCTGAAATTAAGGTAAAAGCCAACAATACAATAGTCAGGACGATTTTTCAGTATCTTTTCTCCTGAAAGAATATTATTTTTGAATGGTTACCCATCACACCTTTTCCTTGACAACATATGTGGCGCGCACGATGACGTGGTCACTCTCATCGAGTCGGTTCTTCCACTCCATGACACGGTTCACGTAAGGATTGTTGTCACGGAAGTTCTGCCAGCTCTGGCTGAAGCGCGAGTCTTTGTGAAGAACCACGCCAGTCGCGTCAGTGTTTGCCTATAAAAAAACGTGTTGCCATCAAAGACTGTAGGAAAAAATCTGTAATCAGAAATAATTATTACGTACACAAGTTCCTGATACTAGCGATAAAGCCGCACTAGCAATTAGCAAATAAATTAGAGCTGCATTTGAACTAAACGTAAATTCATTCTGAATCATTCAATGAAATGGGCTGACAAGGTTCGCCATCATTAGACTAATTTTTCTATAACTAGTCTACACTAAAGCATTCGGGACACTTGAAACTTGCCAAGGGACGACACAGAACACACCACTTGAGTGTAAACATTGTAACAAGATAAATCCCCATGTAGCTCGTTAGAAGTCAGACGATGAAATTTATAGTGTAGTATACTCGTAGTCACCTCAAAAATCCGCTGCTCTGCTTCAGGGTTCACTCCAGTTCGCATCCTGAGTACAGAAGGCGGCCTGTAGACCTTCGTACGTGAGCCAGAGAGCTCGCTGGCGCGCAGCTCCTGCGCCATCTCGTACGTCATCTGCCGCACCGTTTGAGCGCCGCGCGTTTTGGAGAGACTCTCGCCAGTCTGCGATATGCGGCTGCCCATCTGCGCTACACGCTCCCGCGCGTCTTCTGACATCTTGCCTGACAAAAAATATAATATTACTTGGAGAACTCAAGCCTTGATGCAGTTTCAGGAGTTGCAGTTGCAGACATCTTGCCTGACAAACAACATAATATTACTTGGGAAACTTAGGTCTTGATGCAGTTTCAGAAGTTGCAGTTTATTTAAATGTTTTCGGTAAGCGAAATTAAAAAAGTTAGTTCTGATGAATTTGTAGACAAAATAAACTTATTAATTATTCATCAACTATTTAATAGTTGGTAATGAGAAGCGCTGACTTGCACAGGCTCAGAGAAGGAAGTTATCATTTGAACATAATTAACAAGAAAATTAAACTTAAGTGAACAATATTAAATTAATCAGCATGCAAAGTCAAGTATAATCTTTCTTAATATTAATGAAAATACTAACTAGCTTTTTGTAGCATTTCATTGTTCTGGGCTTCTTCTACAGTCTTGGACACTCTGTGCTTGATTTGTTCCAAGGTCTGCCGCGCCTTTCGACTCCCTTCAGCAGTTTCTTCTTCTATCTTTTGATATTTTTCCCTGAAAAAATATACAGGGAAATTAAATTAAACCCAACTCAATTGCAGAGCTATGTCAAACTTAGAGTGGTAAGAGAAAGAAGCAATAATTTAATTTTGTATTTTTAAGATTCAGCAATACAGTTGCAGAGAATGTTCTAAGCAATGTAAGTCACCAAGATGTTGAATTTCACTTTATTTTATCAAACAAAATGTATACCAAATTCAATTGAAATTAACTTTGATTTTATATTACGGTGCTCTCACTCCTTGCATAAATTGAAAAACAGAGGAAACCCACAAGGCCACATATAATAACAATCTCTGACATTACAAAAATGGTCCAAGTCTATAAATGTCTTCTGAATTACGTATGTAGGAAGAAAATCTAGTTACATGGACATATTATCACAATACCGTACATGATAAGACAAATTGTCTTATCATGAACATGGCAAGCACACATGTGACATACAGCATAGTATATATATATGCATGAGAGTTGTACCAAGTTTTGTTCATAGGAGACAACATGATGAACACATTTATAATGCAGTAACAGATGAATTAGATTTTTCAGGTCAAATTAATGCTTTTGTGAGCATTTAATTTAGTAGAGTCAAGCATTTATCTTCACACCAGCTGACCAGTAATTGAGGATTAATTAAGAAAGAAATAGTTGAAGATTATTTTGTACCCTGAATTGAAAACTAGCCATGCAAGTGGTTGCAACACTTGCACCTTAACTAGAAAATTGTTAGTGTCTGAATTAAATAATGAAATTGGCTTCCATTTTCCATGAACATTTAAATTTAATCATTGAGAACAAAAAAATATATAGTATACATGCTCTAATTAATCAAGGTCAAAACAAAATAGTGTGCTCGAATTTCCATAGGTCTTAATCATGAATAATATTTTCATTTTTGTGAGATTTTTTATTCAAGGCAGTTGGTAAAAATTAAATTGCTACCTTTACAAAAAATTAAATGATAGGATCCATGAAGCTGAACTTTATAATGCATTTTCCTCCAAACTCTCCTAGTTTGTCAGAGTGTGAGCTATTCACACTCAGAATGCATATAATGTGCAATTGTGCACATGATTGCATGTATCAACCTAGTTCTGCATTGAAAATGCTTACCTTGCTTTCATAACAGTCTCTGATTTATTCAATTCTTCCATATCTTTTTTAAAGTTTTCTATACTTCTTTTCATGTCGCTGTTCTTTTTGGCTTCATCTCGTAAGTTGTCGAGCATCCGTCCAAAAAAGGATCCCGAGCGCTGTGGTGTAGAATATGAACGACTAGGACCACTGACAAAGGGCCACCCAGGGGAATGGGCTCCAAATTGCTGTACACTTGGCCCATCCTGGGCACTGTAGATATACCTTGCATAACATCTTCTGTGGCACAAATCAACCAGAGATGAACGAGCCAGTCTCTGCTGCTGCTCATAAACACAGTGGGCCTGCAGTGAGAAAAGAAAACCAAGTAATTTGAATACTCAAAAAAAAATGTAGTGATAATGTGTTTATATATCTATTCAAAACATTGGCCATAAACTCTTCTTGGTTGGCAACACCCAATATCAATTTTTTTTAAGTCAGAAGATATGTAGGTATACAGCATGCAACCCATGGTATAAAAAGAAACCACATGCCACCTCTGACACTATTTGTTGAGACACTTCATCTGTGCCTAAACACAAGGTATCTATCTGGTGTTAGATTTCTCTATTCTCTATCACGAAAATACATTTTTACAATAAAAATAAGTAACTCTTCCACCTATTTATACTTATGACAAAACTTTTGCAAAGTAAAGAAACAATTAGCTTATGGGAACATCAGGAATTTGATATTTGTTGCCACATGTAGCCTGTGGTTCTCATGACTTGACCATCAATAGAAAAGATGCTCAAACATCCTTATAAGCTAATAACAGGGTTCATACAGGTATTTAGAAAAAAATTCCATGACTTTTCCATGACTCTCCATGACCATCATTATAATTTTCCAAGACTCATATTTGACAGGTTTAGCATGACTGAAAGACTTACTGTGCATATTCTATAATCTCCTACAGTTGATAAATAGCAAACATGTAAATGCATAGCTCTTCAAAGTTGGCATGGCACTTCAAAGCTGCTTCCCCAATATTTGAAACATCAAAGTCCTTCGAGCACAATGTACATATTGCCATACCTTCATGCTTTGGATGGCAAGCAAGCAAGTCACAAGAAGCTTCTATTCTTAATCATGAAATTTTCATTTTCCAGGCATGATGACGTAGAAATTGCACACTGAAGATGGAATGCTGCCAGTGCAGATAAAAAAGTTGTTAAATGCAACTGAGCTTGGTGACCAAGCTCACATGCTTGGTTCTCCAATCAGGATGCAGAAAACAAGAGACTGCACAAACAGTAAACACACGCTGCACAGAAAAACACTACCTTTTTTCTTCCTTTATTTGCAAATTCTATCATTTTCCATAACCTGAAATGAAATCCAATGATTTTCCAGGCCTGGAAAACGAAAAATAAAATTCCATGACTTTTCAGGTTTCAATGACCAGTACAAACCATGTAATAAGGACTAAACTCAATAATCACTTAAGGAAACCTCTTACCTGAGAAGTCCTGTTGAGTAGCCTCAAAAAATTGTGAGTCATTATTGCTGTTTAAAAAATTTGTTTTAATAAACAAAAAAACTATTAAAATAACATACAAATTGATAATTAGCAAAATAATTTAATGCTACAACTTGAAAATGCTACTTTTATTTAAGTATGACATTTTTCAACCAATATTTATCATGTACAATAATTATTGTGTTTCCTATATTGACATCTGGAAACAGTCAGAAAACATTAGTCAGCAATTTGTTCATTTCTGGAGGATGTTGAAAACTTGATTCAAATATTTATGCATCTTTAGAGTTTTGAAAATTTTATCTATCTGAAATATTCTTATAATAGAAATAATTTAAAATGAAGCCTAAATTATTTAAATTGCTCAAATTACTTTTAATTTTAATGCTTGAATGAGAATTAGGCATACACCTTTCAGCATAAATTTAAGAACATCAAATGCAGAAAAGGTAGACATTGGAAATGCAGCAAAGTTACTGGTATACATCATAGGCAAGTACTGGTCTGGGAGCAAGAGCACTGACAACCCAATGTTGTAGCCAGGTGTTTATTTCAATATTTTTCATTGCAAACCAAATCTGTTATTGATTTGTTCATTCAATGCATATGTTAAATTTCAATACCTCTTATTGCTTTTTATTTCACCAGGCATGGGAAAATTTTCAATAATTATATTTTTTATGCATGTGCTTGATCAGTGACATTGTAAATAATAGAAGCAGGCAGACTGACACTCAATGTGCAGATGACTGCAATTGCCTTGTGAGTGCTTGTTAGGACCCATATTGTATATATAAAGCTTTCAAGGGGAGCGTCTTGGTAAAAAAAACTTTTCTATTTATTGATGGATCACTTCGAAACTTGGTACACATGTGTAAAATAGTAATCCAAGACTTTTTGTTGACATAAATTTTTCAAAAAATGAAAGAAAAAGGCAAAAAAATGGGGTACCGTAAAAGGGGGTTAGTTTGACTCCCGGGGTAAGTTTGACCACTTTTAGTTTTTTAACAAAAACCCCAAAACTCAATAACTATTTGACATAGAAAAATTTTGTCAATGGGCATTAAAGGCCTAATACTGAGGCTACGCAACACAATAAAAAGATTAAAAAAGCTTGCATGTATAATAGGTTAAAAAAATTAAAAATGTGACCCACAAAAAAGAGCTATTATTTAAGCCTGTCATAGAACCCCCTCCAATTTTTTTATTTTTTGGTAAAATAACTCCAGGTTTTGGTGCATTGTAGTAGAACTCTTCTAGTTACATATGCAAATGACAAATTTGAGGGAAGTGTCATAGTTTGCAAAAAGGGGGCACTGCCCCTGAATGGGGGAACTTGGACTACCTAATGTCAGCCCTGATGGGGTAATATTGACTGGCTTGAAAATCAAGTTAAGGTACCATATAAAACATATTTTATGTTTGATACACCTATTAATATTTTTCTTTATGTTTCAGACTGGTCACTTGGCTGACATTAGGTGGTCACAGTTCCCCCATCGGGGGGCTGCACCCCCCATTTGCAAACTATGACACTTCCCTCAAATTTGTCATTTGCATATGTAACTAGAAGAGTTCTACTACAATGCACCAAAAACCTGGAGTTATTTTACCAAAAAATATAATTGATTTTACCACCCAGTCAAATATACCCCAAAGTGGGGGTAACGAAGAACATCACTTTTTTCGAAATTACATCAAAACTATGAGAGGCAGGAGCCAGCAATTTATGGTGAGAGAACCTAGAATATAGACCTGTATTTTGCATGTTTCAATTTGAGTTTAATTTAGCTTTTAAAAAAATGGTATTTAAAAAAAATAGTCAAAGTAACCCCCATCTACGGTACTGTAGAAATTTTGGGGGCGTGTCTCCTCCTAGGGTTTTCAAGCTACATCAAGGTACACATCATTCAATGCATAAAGACCACACCTAGCAATTTGTTGTAGCTTTTTTCATAAATCCTTTTTTTGTGGGTGTGGGGATTTTTGTCCGTTTTTTAATTTGCCCCCCTTCTCCCATTTTGTAAAATGTAATTAAAACTATAATGAAATCACCAAAAAGCTACAATCATTTTCTAGATATTTTTTTACAAAATAAATGGTATACCATCAAACGGGGTAAAAAGGGACGGTTTTGAGCGTTTTTTGTTAATAACTTCTTACCATGAAACATTTCAGAAAAAAGTTTAGGCTCATTTTATAGCTCTTTGTAAGGGGGCTATCCAATGGTATCTTCAAAAAAATTCCATATGCTATTCGTAAGGTGCCAGAGGCAAAATAAAACCGTCCTGATTTATCCCTGGGAACAGGGTAATCCAGGACACTTGCAATAAAAGTTAATTTTAAAACGTTTGAAGCCTGCATAGTGTACTCATCCATTACTAACAGTCTAACAGTACTCTGAAGTCCTCCTCTTTCATTGTAGATGATGTAGATGTAAAATAAATGACATTTTCTGTGATTTTTACTTGTTTTTCCTTTATTGATATTATATTACCATATTATTAATGTGATATTACTGTATCCATGGACATGCCATTGAGCATTGACAACGACCTTGTCCACTGCAAGCTTCATATCAGCAGCCATGTAGCATTTCTTCTGTATCTGTAAGCTTACAGGATGGTTTGTAATTTCGCACAATTTTAATTGAGTCAAGTGATTTCACTATAACAAAAAAGATCATGAAAAACATACCTGAAACAGAAAATAATGCCTGTTAATAATAACCCGCCTGTCCCTTTTTACCCCGTTTGATAGTATCATTCCATTCAAATTGAATGGAATGGCAGTGGCTTGAAAATCATAGGAGAAGAGCCAAAATTTTATCTTTTTTAACCAAGATGCTCCCATTAAAACCAATTACACTGGTGTTCATTCATCTTAATAATTGATTTAGTTTATTTTTGCTTATGCTTACACCAGTGCACATGCATTCATACATTTATCTACAATGCTCGTTTTTAATCTAAAGAATGTAATTAGCACAATAGTGAATTGTTTATATGATTTTACTTCAAGGTGAGCATCTGCCCCAAACTTAAGATTTTGGCTTTTCTGGTTTTTAGTCTCATCTTAAAGCTGACATTCTGACCTATTCAACGGCACCAAAACCATCTCTGTACATTGATTTATGCGTTCAGGCCAGATCCCAAAAGGGTTAGGGGTGGTGGAGTTTTCACATTCAAGATAGGCGGAAATTCCTGGTAGCACACTTTAATAGATAGTCCAAACACAATGTTCTTCAGTTATCTGCCTGCAGTCATACGGGGTGGTTCTTGAGCCGTTGTTCACACCATCCTTGACAGAGATTGAGCTCCAGTATCTTCTAGTCTTGCAACTAGCACCCTTGAATGCCTATTTCGAGGGGCCCGCAACTTTGTCAAGCTCTACTGAAAAGTTAACTTTTTGTCACTGGAAAACTATCTCCTCCTACAGTTTGAAGCTACAGCAATGAGAGATATACCATTTGATTTGCAAATAAAAGATCTAGTGATTGGATGTAGCTTTTTTTTCAATTTTTGTTATAGTTTTGAAAATATTCTGGAAAAAGGGGGGAAAATGGAAAATGTTAAAAAATTTACAAAAAAATGCTCCCCTACTTACAAAAATTCAAATTAAAAAAAAAAACTACAACAAATCAATAGATATGGTATGGTCTTTAGACATCGAATGATATGTGTCTCGACGTTGTAGCTTGAAAATCCTAGGATAGTTTTCTACAATACCCCTTTTTGGCCGTTTTCCAAGAATTTCACCTTTTCCTCCTATATTTTTTTTAATAATTGACATGAATAAAAGCTGTCTATTTTTCAGTTTTACATATGTGTACCAAGTTTCAAAGTGATCTGTCTGTAAATAGACGAGATGAAATTTTGGGCAGACGCTCCCCTTAATTGCTCTACCTACTGTTTCAATTTATGTGTTTCAACCAATAACATTCAGTAATTACCGCACTTGTAATTGTGTCCTTTACTTTGGTTTACTCTAATCACTTGAATTACCATCTCTTGTGTACTCTGCGTTCACTTTATTGTTTCTAACTAATTTAAACTTACTGCTTAATTTTTTTGGCAATGCTAATAGTTTTGGGTTTTAATTAACTGTCGTGAGTATGGTCGTTTTATTTGATTACACTGTAGTGGTGTGGCTTGTGTATCATTATCGATGTCACTGCACCATGCATTCTTTCCACTCACCTGTGTCCTCTCTTTCCAGACTCAAGAATGTGGATTATTGGTTAGCTAGGTTTTTCAGACCTAATGCATGTACTTTGATGAGTCTTGTTATGTCCTGCTGCATCCTGGTCTCTGGAGCTAACACAAGTCTCGCCATGCACCTTGCTCTTGCTGTGTGTCTTGACCTTGCTGAACATCCTGATCCGGCTGCACAGTGTTATCCTGCTGCACGCCTTGCTTGATTGTGCTGTCCACTGGTTATCTGCATTCCCTTGCTGGTGCCCCTTATGGGTGAGTAATGACACATGCCAATACTCTTTGAAATGCCCAAGCTTTGGTATATATCGATGTAATTGTGTTACTTGCTAGAATAGGTGTTGGTGCCAAAGTCTGTGTATTATGTTTTATTGTATGATACTGCATACTTCTGTGTCTTATCCATTTGCACACCTGTCACACACTGATAGCTGGGTTCTGCCTCCTATTTACTTATAGGCATCAAGGGTCAAGTTAAAATACTGAGCACTGAGCCGAGCAGACAGGCCTTCCTTGGTAAACTTCAAGAGTCTTGAGTGAGGTGGAATTCTTCATTGTGGTGAGACTTTTACTGCGACTGACTTCGCAACTTCAGTGAAGCACCCAGGAAATGAGTTGACTGGTCCACCTGTTGGATACATCCTGCCAGTACTAGGAGTGCTCACTCCTCATGCAAATAACAAGTTGTGACAGTGTGCTGATTATAGGGGGGATCCATGTACGCAACCTATGGAGTGAAAGCTAGTTTTACAAAGCAACAGTGATTTTAAGGCATCCATATTATCTGGCACGGTATGTGTGTTTAACCCAATAGCCAAGTAAACACCCAATTTTTGGCCTGTGAGTGATGGGCTGATTTCCTTGTCCGCATCAGGGTGTGTGATCAGTTGTCTCGTACCAATGGTGTTTTAAATCAATTATATTACTTGCACATGACGACAAACCCCATTGAGTGCATTGACTTACCTTGAACACTTTAGTGGTTA